ACATGTATATATACACACAGACATGTATATTCAAGCAAAATAGAATATTACATGTTCCCTATTTTAAGTGTTTCACCTCTCTCTCTGTATCAGTAAGTATAAATATATATTATTGCAATGAATCCATCACATTTTATTTAATAGATGTAACACAAGTCATTTAAAAAGACTCTTATATTGGACATTCACATTGCTTTCAGGATTTTTTTGAGGTTATGAACAATGCTGTGGATAATATACTTTGTGCATTTTTGTGCACAATACAGGTATTATTATCTCAAAACAAATTTCTAGAGATGTGGAAGCAACTAAAGTATATATTAAATTTTAGATTTTTAAAGTACACTGTAAAAGTGTCTTCCAGAAAGTGTGTGAGATTACCATTCCCCCAAGCAGTATATGAAAGAAACTGTTTCCTCACATCTTTAATTAACACTGAGTGCTGGGCTGTGTGTTAGATTTTAATTTAATGTGTTGTAATCCAAGAGTATTTCCTTCATGATTTCTAACTCATGAATCAATGCCTAGATATAATTTCTCTACTTAAAGATTCTAAAAATGCTACAATTTCTTCTAATACCTTTTTTCCCCATTTAGACGTTATAAATTACATCAGAAATTAATCTTATTTTAAGATTATACCAAGATGCCTTGGTATAGGCATCTTTTAATTTCCAAATGGATACTCCATTGTTTTAATATATTTAATAAATAATCTATCTTTCCATCTTCATGACTTACATAATACATTAAATATTTATATTGGGATCTATTTCCTGATTGCACATTTTATTGCTTGTCTACTTTCCTTGACTATGAGGTTATTTTAATTATTATAACTTTATAATACATTTTAATATCTGGAGGATTAAGGTTCTCTTTTCTGTTTCCAGTTTAGAGGAAAGTTTATGTTTGTACAATATTGAATCATCTCATCCTGGGAGACAGTTGGTCTCTTTTTTATTAATGTTTGATTACATTACCTTTTTTCCTTCATATTTCTTGCTGATTTTTTAAGACAATTCATAATTTTGATTGTGATTGTAAAATCTATTTTTATATTATGATATTTAGCTGACTATTGTAATTATTAGAGCTATTGATTTTCATACAGTTTCCAAAGGACCGTGTTATATAAATCCTACTCAATATGTTATTAGTTTTCCAGTTAATCATATAATCTGTAAATATTAGCTTTTTCTCCACAGTTACCACTTATTCCTATTGTTTAAAAAATATGATTACACTGGCTATCATTTTTGGAAAAATATAAAACATATAAGAGCATAAAACTTTCACGATTATAATGATAATACCTCTAATACAAAGCATGATAATGGGAGTTGTATTTTAGTAGTGAAAGGAATGATGATTGCAGTGGGATGGAACACATTTCACCTACGTAAAATCTATGACTCTATAATGACAATAAAAGCCACAACAGGAACAGCAGTGGCAAACATCCATTGGTCACTAGTAAACAGTGCTAACCTGTTGAAATTTGATAAAGGCAAAGATGCAAGTATTTATCTTGCCTTTCTTGTTATGAGCCTTATTTTAAAGCAAACAAATAGTTAAGATTTTTTAAAATAATTTCCCTTAACTGCTGAAGGAGTGATAGAAAAATGTCAATTTGTAATGCCTAATGAGATAACAGAACTAGTAAATAAGTAAAATAAATAAAAACAAAAAAATAAAATAAATAAAACAACCAGATATTAATCTCATTAAATACTATGATATACCCTTTCCTTAAAAACAAATAATAGTAACAAAACTATCGATCTAATCTAGCCTAAGATCTAACTCTTAGTTTACAGAAAATATAAAAAATAGAAGGATAAAATAAATAAGAAAATTAAAAAGACCAAATCTAGAATACTGGATATTCATGAGGACAAATAACTTGGTTTCTTCTACATGTCCCCTTAGTTGAGATTTGCTTTAAAATACCTCAGGTTTGGGGCACCTGAGTGGCTCAGTCGGTTAAGCATCTGACTTCAGCTCAGGTCATGATCTCATGGTTAGTGGGTTCAAGCCCCGCGTCAGGCTCTGTGCCTCCAGCTCAGAGCCTGGAGCCTGTTTCGAATTCTGTGTCTCCCTCTCTCTCTGACACTGTCTCTATCTCTCACGCTGTCTCTATCTCTCTCTCAAAAATAAATAAAACATTAAAGAAAATTTTAAAAAACTCAGGTTACAACAACAACAACAACAACGAAACAGGCAGGGGGGACACAAACAAATGGCAAAATATTGGTAATTGTTGAATTTAGGTGATGGGTACACGAGGTTCATTATCCTCTTCTCTCTGGTTTTGTGTAATGCATGTGATAAAAACGAAACCATTAGAAAGTGAGAGATAGTGGGAAAAGCAGACGAGGATTAATCTTCATTCTAAGCAAAGAGTAGAGGCAGTCGATGTAGTAAAACAGTAACATAGTTAAGTACAGTTAAGTACAACCTAATGTGCATGTGAGGTTCATACAAACAGAAATGGAATGCTGTTAAAGACTGCTTAGAGTTTAGAACTGGGACAGACAGCGGGGAAGGTGAAGGATCGGAGAAGGTGACTGGTAGGTAAAGGGAGCAATGGCATTCAAAATGCCTATACGCACACTCATTATCTGGACTATTGTTTGGGAGCTAGCATAATAAAGAACTGTTTCTGTCTGGATTATTTCTCTTTGATCTACCAACTTCTCACATACCAGCGCTTCATGCAAAGCATCCCATTGTGGCTAGCACTGCAACCTCCTTCTCATGAACATTACACCCAAAGTTGTATCTGGACGCGGTTTATTTATAAAACCTTCTCTTAAAAAAAAAGAAAAAATGTAGAGTTCTCTGATTTGCTCATTTTAGCCACTCTGACTGGCGTGAGGTGGTATCTCAGTGTGGTTTTGATTTGTGTCTCCACAATAGCTAAAACATGGAAAGAGCCTAAGTGTCCATCAACAGATGAATGGATCAAGAAGATGTGGTTTATCTATACCATGGAATACTACATGGCAATGAGAAACAATGAAATCTGGCCATGTGTAGCAACATGGATGGACCTTGAGGGTGTTATGCTGAGCGAAATAAGTCAGGCAGAGAAGGACAAATATCATATGTGTGCACGTATAGGAGGACTAGGAGGAACTTAACAGAGGACCAACCGGGAGAAGAAGGGGGGAAATGGTGGGGGAAAGGGAGAGAGGCAAACCATGAGAGACTCTTGAATGCTGACAAAAACTGAGGACTGATGGATGTGGGGGGGAGGGGGGGATGGGCATGGAGGAGGACACTTGTGGGGATGAGCACTGGGTGTTATGTGGAAACTAATTTGACAATAAACTATTTGTAAAAAAAATAAAAATAAAAATAAAAAAAAATATAAAAAAAAAAAGAAAAAATGAACTGCTGTGATTTAAGAGACTTAACATGTCTTTAACCCCACTTTATAAATACGAAAAGAGAAAAAAAAATCTCCGATTTCTTTGTGTTATCCCTCGGATGTACAGAGAAGGCAGTCCCATGAAGCCCTGCCTTGTCACACTCAATAGAGCAACTGCAGAAGCAATTTGTTACAAGCAGATGGATAGTTGAACACTAAAAAGGATAATAAACTAGAACGAAATTAGATATTGAAATCAATTTCTTTTAGGCTTACCATGAAACTTCAGATTTACACAATTGTATTTGAAGAAGTCAGAAAAAAAAAAAAGCCATACTAAGATGGGTGCCCGTGAAAACAGAACTTTACACATGCTATAGCCTTTATAGTCACCATTTACTCGGTTGGTTCAAATATTTATAGTTCATTGTTATGACTGCCAAAACTGGCAACCACAAGGATTGTTGTCTCAATTAGGACAGTAAACAGATTGTCTCTTTTTTTAATGAAAAAATCTAAAATGTAATACTTCACAGTTTAACATGTTTATTCATCTAAACGAGCTAAAAAATAATGGTGCGACATCTGTTCGAGAGGCACTGGTACCTCAAATTTTGGCTGCCTCCCCACCAATTTGGTTGTTGTTTTAAAAAATGAAGAATAGGAGGGGGTACTGTCATCAAAAAATCTTCTGGCATGTAAAGTATCTTATTTTTCTTGAAATAAGGATCTCATGTCTGTTGCTAGGGATAAAAAGAAAATTATTTAAGAATGAGGCACTGTGTTGAATAGGGCAGAAGTTCAATTGTTTTAGATGAATTTGCTGGCTTGCTATGGATATTTCCACACTGGTGTAGTTCTTTGAGTGACTCTCCCAGCCCCCTGCATACTCACCTGCATAGGTAAAATACAAAATGAAATAGTAAAAATGTTTCTGTTGGCACTGAATTCATCTGCTAGTTTGTGTGTGTGTGTGTGTGTATGTTTATTTTTTTTAATTTTTTTTTTTTTTTACTGTGGGTTGTACTGATTGTAGATCTGATGTCAGTGGAACAAAATCTAGCAAACACCCTTCTATCTAGGCTGCATTGGAGCAATTCTAATAAAAGAAGGCAGTGCTGCTAAGGGAGAAGTGGTAGGAATCTCCCCAGAGAACGCCAAGGTAAGTGTACTTATCTTAGATAGTCTCTGGCTCAACAACCTTACATTATGGATGAAATACATGAAAATGCTGGGAGTTTAATTTCTAGAAGTTTTATTTCTGAAGCCCACCTAAACAAAGCATAAAAATTACTCTGCTGAATTATCACTGACTATAACATTTTAGAGTCTGGGAAATATAGTGCTTTAGTATTCACATAAATATAAATATTATAATGGAAATTTAGTTTTATTTTTGTTGGGGGTGAGAATGTAGACTAAGTTACATTAAAAACACTGTGTGTGGTTTTCAGCAATACTAATAAAAATAACATATTTCATTTCCTAGAAAAGAGCTATGTTTCTATTATACAGCAAGTTTTAACGCTAGTTGTCTTGATGTTAAAATGAACGTGATGAAACATATATTTGTCCTACTCCATCCAATGACCATAAATGCTAAATGCTGAGTTAACCAATATAGTGATTTCTAAGTTTCATTTATTGTGCAAATAATTTTTGATCATCTATTACATGCAGCAACTGTACCAGATTCTGAGAGGACTAAAAGAAATTAAATTTTAACATCCATTTACTAAATATGTGCAGATCACTACACTGCTGGAATCACAGAAATGAATAAGAGCATTATTTTCAGGATCTTGCAACCACTGGTTGGGGTGGAACGATTTCTGAAAAATTGAAAGGATCGAAAATCTTCAAGTATTTGCCAACTTAAAACAAACTCCGTATTGGTACTACGGTATGCTTTCTGTGCATCTGTTTTAAAAGAAATCCTAGATGAGGTTATCTTTTTACAGTATCTCCTCTCAAATAAATTTATGTAGGTTTTATTTTGCATGCACAATAAGGGCCAGCAACTCTTCCAACTTCATTCACACTCTTCCATAGGCTGTATGTAAAGTCTACTGCATTAGCTGAAGTTTATCCTACAGAGCATGTTACCAAATAGATTCTAACATTCTGAAAAGTCATCCTAATTTTTCTGTTCTTATCTTCTGAATTACTGTAAGCAGTGAATTACTGGAGGAGAAAAACCCATGCCTAAAATTTGTCTGTCTGGTGCCAGTCTCAGATCTACACCAAACATCGCTCACTATTCAGAAGTGTGGCCCCCTGAAAATACAGGCCAGATAGCACCTCTCTGTCTTCAAAGATTCAAACCAGATTTCAATCTGGGATTTCTCTACAGGCTGCTTCCCAGATAATGCAAGTTTGAAAAATTTGCATTTCATGAAAACAGTGTTGTATAAACACGTATTGTCTCACTTTACCTCCTATTTATTAAAATCAGCATTGAGCCTTTGGGACTTGTCTCTGGAACCATCATAAGGTACATTATACCAACAGTCTAGCCAGAGACTCAAGATATCGGTAAAACGAGGTAACACAACCTGCCTATAATTATATTACGTATAAACTAATATTTATTACTATTGGAAACAAACTTTTCCCCTCAAAAGAAGACCTCAAGAACAGAAGGGGACAGTAATATTTTTTTTTCCACAGTAATGAATTTTCAGGCATTTCTAAGAGTACAGTCACCTATTTTAAATACTGTAAATTCTGTTACATCTCACTTGGATGGGTATCTAATAAACAAATTATTACATATCTTCTCATTTAAATTATGACTGAAATTAGAAATAATCTTTATTTAATACGACTGTTTTTAACACCATATGGGAGGTAAAATAACTAAATGAAAATTGTTCACGTAAATGTGATAGGAGTGAGGAAAAAGCAGTATTTCTTGACATGTGGCATGTCACTCAGGAAAGGAAAAGGCCCATCATATCCAAAATGCCAGCTTGGATATTCCCTTGCCACCCACTTCACGAACAGACATACCACATGGCATTAAATGCTGCAACCTTTCCTAAAAATGCCACTTGGATTGGTCTGCTGTGGTGAGTGTATAAGAACTCTTGGTCTGTCTCATGAGTTTGTGATTTCAAGGAGAAGAATCCAGTAAATAACACTGGCTAAATTTTGCCCTCAGATGCTTGGCATAAATGATCTGTGAGGATCCTGGAACTTTTGGCTGTTTTCACATTGATGAAATAAATTATGCTACTTGAAAAAAATTCTATGGAACATAATGCTATACAGTCATAGTCAACTATTTGTAAAAGTCTCAAAGAAGATCTAGGTTATTTACCATAGATTTTTTTCTCCTGGCAAATATGAAAACAATCTTAACATTTTATTTGCTCTTCAGAAATACAATGTATGTGATATAAAACCCTTTGTGCACATGTTTCAAACTATTAATGTTCTATACTTCTTTCTATAAGGTAGTAGTAGCTAACAAATGTGCTGTCGACACATATTTTCCCATTTTCCAAGCTTTATGTCTTTATGTGTTCTAGCGTTATTTTAAAAAATCCATTACCAGTAAAAATATTGAATACATTGATTATTATACTCCAACAAACGCAAAATATCTTGAAAACTTACATAAACAAAAAATTAGTTATGTGAGTAGTGAGACATATATTTTCTTACATTATTTATTTCTCATAAAACAGTGGTGATTGACTAACTCTCAAGAGACAGAATGTAATTTTGTAAACCAACCTCGTATTGTTCAGATTTAAGAGGCAACCCAAGAAGATTATTCTGACTAGGTAGGACTTGGTTGCTGTCGTATGGGGGGGAAGAAAACCTGCACAATTAAATGACAGATTGTTACATATCTTCCTAACAAGAGGGGCAAACTGATACTGCAAGCAGCCAGAACAACATAATTAAAATGGAATTCCAAGTTTATATTAATAGAATAATAAGTTAATTAAAACCAAGATCAACTGAACTTTCTATTTACACCAGTTCAGACAGCCCAAGAGGAAAGGAACTCTATTTTAGAGACATATGTGACTCTTTGAGCTTCTGTTATCCAGGTGCCATTTCTGATGGAGCACATGTGCACTGAACAGTTGGCAAAGAAGGAAAAAGATTACTGTAGATGTATGTGCAGATAGCTCCTCTAATGATATAAAATATGTCTGGAAAGAAAGCAGGGCTTCTTTGTAAAATGAAAAATTCCCCATGACTTTTTATTCCTTCTTAGGCTCTGAATCTGATTTGAGAATGTTTCTGTAAATGAGGATATATACTTTTACTTATGATGTATATGGAACAAAAATAGATTTAATAATCTGTAAGTGATGAAGTTATACACATAAATTGGCTAAGACATCCAAAGAATTTAGGATCTGTTTTCCATTTTATCTAAATGCACCATGAATAGGTTGCCTGTCAAAGTAGAAAGAATTTTATAAAAGTATCCGGTAGCATACATTATACTACATTGCTAGGTATGGTTCTTTTCTTGAAATCCAATGCAACTATTTAAAAAGATATTTCTGAAAACTAAAAATACCAGCAGAAAAAATTCAAGATGTTCTAGTTTCAGTACTTTAGAAAATATTGGTCCCAAGGGGTGCTTTTATAAAATTATTTCCCTTTAATGCATTGATTGCTGCTCAGCTAATCTTCATCTGGTTTCAGATCAGGGTCAACATCTGTGGACAGTCTGAGATAAAAGAAAGCATAGAAAGCCAATAGAAGGGCCAATATAGCTGCAAGTACGAGGCCAACTTCCTGAGGAGGAAAAAAAAAAAAAGTAGGGTTGAAATTGATGAAAAGAGATTGGTTACTGTTATGAGTTTCATCAGATAAAATCACCATATAATTCCATCATCTAGAATAATAATTTGAATCTAATAATCACATTCTCTGTGTTTATTACTTCTGGTCATGAAGTAAAGTAACTTATTTTGTACCAGACAATACCCACTACCTTGACAAGTACATCAGTGGGTGACTCATTCCTACTATTACTCCCATTTAATTTGTTTGTGCTTTTCTAATAGCAAAATTAAAATTTATAATTTTAATATATTTGCCTGGTTTGGATATTAAGATGCGAGTGCAAGCAGTGTAGTTTGTGCTCACAGTTTATCTGTTTTCTGTTGGAGTATGCTCAACTTTATTTACTGCTTCAATAAACTTGTTATTAGCTCTCAGTTTTGGACACAGATTTTTAAAACATCTATCTTTCTTTTTCTAATGGGATGAACCTATATTATAACCAGTTTTTAAATTATGTCTCTGTAAACCTTTATTAATATTATTTTGTTGAAACTCTAATTTTTAAACTCTAAATCGTACAGTTTATAATGTGGGGGAATAAGACTGAGTACTTTCGGCTCATGAAGGATGATATAATGTACTTTATCAAAACTGTGAAGGGTGATTCTGAATATTTCATTTGGTGATTTGGTGTGGGTTACATTAATTAATTAATTATGTTAAAATGGTAGTCAAAAATTTCCTGTATACATTATGGAAAAATCCCACTATCTCTTAAAAAGTCTATAAACTTCATACATATATGAAATATATACTATATACTTGTACATACAAGTTGTATATACAACTTGTGTTTTATACACACAGCATTAAGAAATGTTCTCAATATTAACATATCATTTGGCTAAAAAGGGCAAAAAAGAGCAACTAATGTCAGTTGCATACCCTAAAGAGCCTAATATGCCTTTCTAATTTTCAATTGTGTAACACACCAGTTCCTGGCATTGTTTTCTGGAGAAGCAGTTTATTTGCATTTACATGAATTATTTTACATTTCATAAGAATGTAAAATTAATAATTCAACATATGCCACCTAATAAACTTTCAAAACATTGCAATGAATTTGATTTAGAACCAACATGAAATTTTTACCTGGATGTTGAAATTACAAATGGGTGCCATATACAGATATTTAGCTTCAAAGTTATATTGATTTAGATTTCCAAAGTAAGAAAATAAGCATTGATAAAAATCATGAGGTTGGGAGACTCAGTGTCAACTATTTTTGTAAGATTTGATTTTTTTTAATCTAACACATCAATATAATGTCAAATGAAAGTGAGTTTTTCTTTGTTGCAGTTGGAATACTTTGGCATCTCAAAAGGGCATGGCAGCATCAGACAGGTTTCATTTATATTCTTATATCCACAGCTGTGCTCCCAGACCCATCTGGTTACACAGCTACTAATTTTAAGAGGCTGTAATAAACAAGTGACACACAACTGCAAACTCCATCTGTTCTGTATAGTGGACAACAAAACTGCCCAACAGCAGTCACCGTCCACACAGGCTTAAAGAGAGAACAAAGTTTTTACTCTTGATTGGCGGCCATCATCTCCATCTCATTTGATAATCACCTCTAATTGCTGCCTTTCAACAGCTCCTTGTCCCTGCGAACAACTCCTTACCATCTCCACTATACATTTTCAGACTATCCAGGGGCATGAAAAAGTGTTTTAAGGGTAAGAAGCAGAGAACATTCATAGAATACAACTTCAGAGGATCCATTAATTCCGTTAATCCTATTGACTATATTGTGCAGGGGGTTGGGCTAGGAATGGAGAGGAATAGCATCCTTTTTTTTTTTTTTTAAATATCCCTATTCTGTTGGGTAGATGACCTTTGTGGGGGCTGGATGTATAAGGGTTAAAACAATGGTAAAATTTGAAAATACTGCTTTCAGGATGCTGGTGACACTAATCATAACTTAGAGACTTGCAGGTATTTATGGCCCCCCACCTCCTGGCCATTTGTAGTTTTACATCAGAAATAACCAAAAAACAAACAAACAAACAAACAAACAAACAAAAAACCCTAACATTTCCAGATGGCTCATCCCAAGAGGTTGTTAGCAGGATATGGTTGACACTTGAATATTTTATTTATGTAGCAAATAAATTAAATTCTTGATCCTTATTCTTTTATTATGATTACACCTTTCAAATAAACCATTTAAACAAACTAATGAATCAACACATATAAATTATCTTTTTTCCTCCTAAATACTAGAAAAAATGGGTATTTACATTCTAAAAAATTTTAGTGATGTTGTAATTCTTGAAAAATAATCTAACTGAACAGCAACCAAATAGTAAATATTAGTTGTGGGACTCATTTCATATGGAGTCATAAATTATAACATTTTGTTTACATTGGTAAGACATAGGAAATAAAATAGCTTCTAAATAGAAATTAATTCTAGATTTTGACACAGCAATAGTCACATCTTATTCTGAATTATGACTGTTCTCTCAAAACATTTTCTAAACATACATTTATAAAATAGTGCTAAAAAGTCTTTGAGCATAAAAACTACAATGTATATCTTTCTATCTCCAGTCCCAGATTTCTTAATCAATACTGTTGATTTTATATGGTAATGAAATCTGGAAGTTATTTCTGTAGAAGTTCCTCCAAAATGATCATGTCTTATTCATCTTTCTTTCTTACAGGTTCTACAACACTGTAATATTTATAGCATTTCTAAATAAATAAATAATATAAATCTTGAGTAAGATTTATATAATCTACACATAAAGTATATTAAAATTATGCAATACTTTGAAAACTTCACAACAGTAATATCAGTATCTCCACAGCAAAACTGAGAACATTTTATAAGATACAATACCACAATACAGACTTAGTTGAAGCAGGGGATCTGAAGGCTAATGACAAACATCCAAGGGAAGTCTTATTTGTACAAACCAGTAATGGCTAATTCAAAGAAACCTTTTCTCAATCAGCTAACAACTCACAAATGAATTCTATGCACTAGGTTCAATGTTAAGTGTTTTCATTGTCTTATTTAACTCTCCTGACAGCCCTGTGAAGTAACGGCATAATCGCCATTTTACAAATATGGCAGCTTGGACTAGCTAGATCATGGTAACAGTAAGAGGCAAGAAGAATGTGATCCTAAGTCTCTTTATTCTTTGTTCAGTGTTGTCATTGCTGTTATTTTTCTATTCCATGCACCTGTTCATATTTTCTATAGATTTAAATTATTTTAAGAGCCTAACTAGGATTCATTCTAAAAATAAGTAGTAAAGTGATAAAATATTGTAATATTATGGTCATCCTATATCAACGAGATAAGAGTCAAACATGTTTGATGTTCATTAGTCCTTAGTTGCTTCTCTGACATTATCAATATGGATAAAATCACTCACTGGGGAAATTAAACAGCATTAAATGGCAATTGCTGAAAGAAACTTCGTTATTTAAAATCCTATGCTAAAATGACAAGGCAATCAAAGTTTGACAGGGCAAACTAATTAGTATGCCAGATTTGAAATATAAAACACCTCCATGGTTCTAATTCTAAAAAGTTTCATATAATTTTAATGGGCTCTTCAAATAATTTTTAAGACAAAGTAAACAATGCTTAAAGTTAAGGGTTTTGTTTACCATAGGTTTACAAAACAAAATGATATGCTACCTTATTAAAAAGGAGCTGGGTTCTGATGTCAGTTAGAAATTCTTTTGTATATACTTTAAATCAGAAATGAGATCTCAGAAAATTTTTTTCCCATAAAAAGATAAGCAAATTCTACATTGTTTATAAAAAGATCTTAGATAATGGTGCTAAGGTAGATTTATCTCATACTATGACAGTGATTCCCTCAAATTGAAATAATAACAAAAATTATAAGAAGAAACAAAAGAGGATGTGCTTACATTCATGAGTGGCTGCACTATTTCTCAAATTCTAATTTGTAGTTGCTCATTACATTGTGCCACAAGTGGATTTTGCTACACCATTATCTTTCTTTAAAAACAAAACAAAACAAAAATACTGCATTGTGAGAGATAAAAGTGAGTGACATGAGTACCTTGGTGGAGAATGACAAATAATGCTCTCATTACAAGAGATAACCATCAGGTAACTAACTGTAAAAAACAAACAAACAAAACAAAAACAAAAACAAAAAAACAAAAAACAAAAACAAAGACAAACCCAAGTATTAGTTTTAGGAAGATCATGTCACAGAAATAATTGTTAGTATGAATAAAATAAATTAGAAGAAAACTTCAAAAGATTAATCATCTCTCTTTTAAATAAAAAGCCAATTCACTTTTTTTCATTAAAAACTGACACACAGCACTGAGATTGTTGTTGTGAAAACATACCGTACCACACGGCAATGCTTGATCAAAATCAGCAATCAGGAGTAAAAAGAAAGCAGTGTTTCGTGATCATAATAGCAAATTCTGGAAGACAACCAAATATATCATCTGGCTGTTCAACAGCTGTTACAGCCTGGTAGTAATACCTTGGCATTTGCTATGAGCTATAACTTAGAAAAATTGATTTTTCATCTGCCAGATAAAACCAAAATCTCTTTTTAACATTTAATATTTAAATAAAGTATATACACTAGCCACTTTACTTTTACACATTTGACAGCAGAACTGTCAAGTTAATTTTTGTATTTATAGTTTGATTAACCTCTAAATATTTGGCAAAAAAATAACATGAGTAATAATGTAAATGTAATTTTGTTGAACTTCATTGTGCTATCACATTGGATTAGTATCTGCTAATATCATTCTCAGATGCATTTATCCCTCTTAAGCAGTTAAAACACTGGTTTTCTAAAAGAACAAGTTTGGGGACATCATTAGAATTTTATCATAGAGAGTACTGACAATAATAATAAAGCACAGAGTAAAATGACACACATTGATGATCTAAGTATATATAATTATAAGTAAAATTTCAATAACCATAAAAGTAAATTTATTGAAAATGAAAGAAAATTTTTTATTCCGGTCACATAAGTCACTGAAATGTTTGAACAATATATACAGTGGCTAGAGAGAAAATAAATTGCAACTTTAAGTATAACTGGCTCTCTTGTGTGACCCTGTATTTTATTATAAGACCTAGTAAAATCTCAGAATTGGAATGATGTTTTCCATTAAGCAAATTCTTTATAAAAATCTTCAATTCTGGCATTCAACTTTGATTTTGAAATGTCATAAAACATTTAGAATTCAACATTCATGCAATCCAGTTTTAGAAAATGAAATGGCATGCATATATCAAACTTTAAAGTTACCAAATACAGGTACCTTTATGCCTATTGCTGTTTTCTTTGCTTCTGCTTTTAATTTGGTTGCTCGTAAAATAGGTTTGGTTTTTTTATAATCTTGTTTACCTAAAAAGAAACAATTTCAGGCAGTGAGCTATGCTTATATATAATTCAACTTTAACAGCCATCTGAAATGTCCAAGAATGTTTAAATACAGTAAAACTTGGACACAGAGTTGAAAAGTAGCTCCCAGTTATGGAAACCATAAACTTGTCACCCAAAGGTCAACCTCTCCTCGTCTCTTGATTTTAAAGGAAGAAGAGTTGACAGACATCTTTGATTTGGTGTCCTGTGAAGAACTAAAAAGATAAAAACTCATTTCAGAGAGTAAGATGTTTAAAGATAGTAAGCCTTTTGGAAGCATTTAGGACAAATAGGTAAATGAATATACATAAGGTCCCAGTAACAGGTAAAGTTAACTTTATCTTCCTAAGTGAACAAGGAGAGCTCATTACAATTATTTTATTAGTGATATATTAAGTATCCAAATAACCAATTTGAGGAATATCCTCAAGTTTTCTGTGAATAAGAAACTAAGAATGTAAATACTTAACTTTTAGTCACTGAGTTCCTTAAAAAAATACATATTTAACTTGTTTGCTCTCGATAGAGGACAGAATAAATACGCCTAGATAAATGTGTAGGTTAGCTACTTAGATAATAGTTTCAATCTTTACCACATTTCATAACCAAAGATGAACAAAACTTAAGTTATTATCACCAAACTTTCTTTTTTGTGTACCATTTGATGACACCACTAATGAGTAACAAAACTGGATTTGTGTGTAACCTGTATGTAACTAATGAGTTACATAACCTGTGAAGAAAACAGATTTAACAACAACAAAGAGCAATAACAAAAGCATTCACTAGAATAATATACTATGTTGTTAACCAGACTTTAACTAAGAACCGGGTCAGTGAGTCTCAAATACAATCCGTCACTCTGGGAGTTAGCATATGACCATATAATCTCTCTTTTATATTCTCCTTAGTTTGCCTTATTTCTATCTTACCCCATTTCCTTCATGATTGATTTCCTTCCAAACCTTACCCCTGTATCTCCTTATAACACAACTTTTAACTTTAGTTTCCACATCTTCCCCCACACTGAAATAAATCTGAAAGCTGTTCATCTACACAATAGTATATTGTAAAAAGTTAATGTGCAATATATTAATGCATTTGCTAATAACTTGAAAGTTGCCCTTAAAATTCCATACAGATTTTTAGAACTAGAAATGGCAGGAAGAGGGTTGCCTGGGTGGCTCAGTTGGTTAAGTGTTGGACTTCGGCTCAGGTCATGATCTCACGGTTCGTGGGTTCGAGCCCTGCACCGGGCTCTGTGCTGACAGCCAACTCAGAGCCTGGAGCGTGTTTCAGATTCTGTATCTCCCTCTCTCTCTGACCCTCCCCTGCTCACACTGTCTCTCTCAGAAATAAATAAGACATTAAAAAAAAAAGAAAAAGAATGGCAGGAAGAAGTGAATCAAATGGATGGGAGTAATGAAAAAATGCTCTATTTATATTCATTAGATACTTAAAGTGTTTGTTTAGCTGAAGAGCTATGCGTTTTGTTTTTTTAAAGAGTCAGTGTATGTTATTTCCTTAACTGCTATCATATAGCAGTCATTCTGGATCTATGAACATGCAGAAGCTTAATAAATATTATTTGATGATAAGGTTTAATGATCCAGAAATGAACCAATTGTAAAAATGTACATCAAATGATCTAAATTTAAATTATAGAATGAACAAAATACAGAAAAATATTACTCTGACCCATTTTAAATTAGCAACATTTAATTTTGCTGAAAAAGCCTTGACAAGTGTTCACTCTGATTTCACATCTGAACAGTCAAACTATTCATGTCATTATTCCTGCTGAGATATAAACAGTTCAGAACAATGAAAATGGTGACACGTCAAATGCTTCTGCTCAGGATTACGAAAACAAATTTCTAAGCAGAATCTAAAGAGAAATTTGAAGATGATAGATTTGAGGCCAAAAAGCCATTTATTGTTTTATCTTATATATGCTCTATAATAATCTCTGGGTGCAATAGGGAAAAAATAAAAAAGGATTGTCTTCACCCAAATGTTTTTCATATACTAATGTATTACTCTGGGTGATGTGTCTATCATAAAACAAATTCAAATACATACCAAAGGAGTCGATGTTACAGTGAGAATTTATCACTCTACTTCACTTGTTGTATAACTTCTTGGTTAAATGTGTTCTATTTCAATTCAACTCCTGTAATCTCTTAGAGAATAATACCTCTAGATTTATATTAAAGTTGATAGGAACATTTGAAAATGTATTTATAATAAATAGATGGTTTAAAAATTATTTATACCTGGTACTTCTCCAAATAGTGCATCTGTCATTAATTTAGCACTCTGCTTGCTGACTATGATATCCAAAAGTATAGACTGAAAAATGTAGTTTCAGTCTACCAAGTGAAAACGTTTATGGGGCATCTGTTAAGTTCTTTATAACCAAAACTAGATATTTCTATTTTACTCAAAGAGGTTTTCAGCATTTAAATTTTTTATGACTTCAAGAAAGATACCTTTGCCCACAGGATTATAAAAAATGTAAAACAGAGAAGCCCCTGCCTCCCAAGTATTTAACTTAGAAGAAATACACATCCACACCCACATACACATATATATAATACATATATAATAATCTAGATTGTATATGTATATGGCTTCTTGGACACAGGTCTGATTTTGGTGATGTCAATAATGCAATAATCAAAGTAGCTGTTTGGCAATTGCTGGTTTTATTTATTTATTTATTTATTTATTTATTTATTTATTTATGTTTATTTATTTTTGAGAGAGAGAGTGAGTGGGGAAAGGGCTGAGAGAGAGGGGGGCATAGGATCCAAAGCTGGCTCTGTGCTGACAGCAGTGAGCCCAATACGGGGGCTTGAACTCAGGAACCAGTATATCATGACCTGAGCAGAGGTCAGACACTAAACCAACCAACTCACCCAGGCACCTCTGCTCATTACATTTTATATGAGAGGAAACCTGGATAATTCAAGACTATGAAGCTAATCTGGGACCTCAATTATCTAGTTTTTCTGTTCAATGGCACCATTCATCACATTTCTGTATTTTCGTTTCCTATGGCATAGTTTAGGTAACAAAAGCTTTTTTTCTCTATCCCCAAGTTTCCTGATTGAATGATTTATGCTTCCTCTCTCCGACATAACCCTATAATACTATTTTATTATATTTTATTTTTAAATTAACATGCAGTGAAATTGGCTTTTTTCCTTTTGGTATACAGTTCTATGAATTTTAATGCTCTTGTATAGATTCATGTAATTACTACCATAATCAGGATACAGAATAGTTCTACTATTCCAAAACCCTCACTGTGCTGTCCTTTTATATCCGCCCCTCCTCCTACCCATAGTTTCTGGTAACCCTTGTTCTACTGTCCATTTCTATAGCTCTGTCTTCAATAAAGTGGCAACAATGTGACAATGGCTACTTTTATTCAGCATAAGGCCTTTAAGTTTTACCCAGGTTGTATGTATCACCAATTCATTCTTCTCAATTGCTGAATAGCATTCTATTATGTAAAGGTACCAGAGTTTGTTTATCCATTCACTCACTGAAGTGCATTTGGGTTACATCTAGTATTTAGCAAATACTACAAGAGTTACCTATAAACACAGGTGTACAGATTCTTATATGAACACAAGTTTTCTTTCAATTTATCTAAAGTAGGACTGCTGAGTCATATGGTAAGTAAGTATTTTAACTTTGTAAGAAACTGCCAAATCATTTTTCTAGAGTGGCTATATCATTTCACATTCCCACCAGCAATGATCAGAGTTCTGGTAGTTTTACATCAGAACTAGTATCAGTATAGTTTCACCAGGTTATCTAATTTTTAGCATACATACAACTGTTCCTTTATAATCCACTTTATATCCATAAGATAATATACCCTGTTTCATCAATGATATTAGTAATTTGAGTGTTCTTGGTTTTTCTTTTTTTTAGATAGTGTAACTAAAGATTTTTCAATTGTGTTGATCTTTCTAAATAATAAAGTTTTAGTTTTCCTGATTTTTTCTACTGTTTTTATCTTCTGTATGTTATTTCCACCTTAATCCTTATTATTTTCTTCCTCCAGCTTGTTTTGGGTTTAGTTTGTTCTTCATAGTCTAACTTGTTTAAGTAGAAAGTTAGGCTATTGATTTGAAATCTTTCTTCTTTATAAACATACTGATTAACAGGGATAAATTGCTATCTAAGTACTGCTTTAGCAGCATCTCATAAATTATCAAGGAGAAGAAAAAAGCTACACACAAAAACTATATGTAGTCAAGTATTATAATTCTCCATGGTGTTACCTTTATTGGTTAGTTTTGGTTATGTTGTTGTTTGTGTATGTAGATTCGAATTTACTGTCTTGTATGCTTTCACTCCAGCCTGCAGGACTCCCTGTGGTGTTTCTTGCAGGGCATGTGTGCTATTAACAAATCATCTAGTTTGGCTTATCCAGAAACATCTTAATTTCTCCCTTTCTTGAAGGATAGCTGTGCTAGACATAGAATTCTTGTCTGGCAGTCTATTGTTTTCAGTACATCTTATGTCATGTGTTTGTTACTTTTCTCTGCTGTTTTAGATTCACTCTTTATGTATGACATACAAACAATAGTTTGACTATAATGTGGCCCAGTGTGGATCCCTTTGAGTTTATTGTACCTGAAATTTATTGAGGTTCTTGGATTTAAAAAAAATTAAAGGTTTTCATCAAATTAGGGATGTTTTGGAGTATTATTTTTTCAATACCCTTTCTGACCATTTTTCTCCCTCCTTTTATTCTAGAACTATTATTATACATAGATTGGTATTATGGATGGTGTCCCAAGGTCTCTGTGCCTCTGTTCATTTTTTGTCATTCCTCATTCACTCATTTCATGTTCTCAGAGAGTATAATCTCAATTAACTTCTTTCCATGTTCTCTGATTCTTCTGCCAGTTCACATCTGCTGTGAAGTTCCTCAGAGAAATTTTTATAATTATTATGTT